CTGAAAACAATCCGACTCGTTCTGACCGACTGAATTTGCATAAAGAGAAATAAGTAATTTTAGCCGAAATATGGGTTCACGTTCCGAAATCCCGTGGTCGTAACAAATACATCACTGCCACTTTGAACAATGAGCACTTGACAAAAGACAGTAGTTTTATTACCCGCTACTCGGCAGGGCTGTCACCGTCTATAGTCTCGTATAACATGACGTTATTTATGATAGTTATTATCTATAGCCTAGAATACCTAGTAATTATTTATGGCTGTAAATTTGATATGAATGTACGTTAGCTCGTGAGCAATTTACTTAGAAATAGTCATGCTATTTTGTTTTTGTCGTGTGGAAACGACAAGATTCAGTTTGTTGTTTTAATCCACGAAGACAATACATGGGGTTATTTCCCTCATTGCATGATGTCAGACTAGGTACATTAACGTAGAAACTTTATGTCAATTTGTCAAAAAATCGGAAATGGAAATTCGCACCACTACTGGCTTTGCATAAGTTTAAATTTCCATTATTGCACACTGCATAATGTTTCTTTTTTCTCTTAATAACAAATAGAAAATTTAACATATTACTCCACTTCGGTTTATATCAGATAAATATCGAATTTGCTATTTAGTTTTAACCAAAGCTGTAAAATTTCTATTTACCCCCGGGCATTCAGAGTAATCTTTATATCGAGACTGTTTAAAACCCTCGACATCGATTATAATTTAATTGATTTGCCTCGCAGTCAAATAGTTTAATATACAAAATGATATTATATTGTATCGGTATAATATAATGTTACAATCTGATAAAAAATACAGCTCTATAGTTTTCGTTTCGTGTTTTTCTGAGGGTACCTCACCTATCTTAAACCTCACAACATCCATTACGAAATAAAATCTGACATAACGACAATGACTTTTGACTACTTGAGCGAGGAAGTGTCGTGGATTCGAGTAGATCAAAAACTAACTCAAATTGGGATAACACGACCAGCGCTTTTGTGATGTTCACGTCTATCAATCCAACAATTACCCTGAGTCGGAATCCAGTTGGATTGTCGTTTGAAATCAAACCCTCTTCAAAGACAGACAAATTCTGATGACTGAGCGATTGTGTCGGTTTCGACCCCCATTGCCCCAAACATAGTAAAAGGAGTGACGAACAAGCTAAGCCGGATTAAGATAAACTTCAATATTTAGAGAAATCTGATACAGATCGTCAAACTTTTAAGCATGATGGCGTATAGCAGTCGGAGATTAAACTTTTCTTCTGTTCTCCGATATTACACACTAATCATGTTTACATACCCAGTACTCCGTGTAAACATAACTTAAAGAGACGTTACCATGTAGCAATTCATGTAGAGATACTCACATAGCCTCTCTTGTAAACATAACATAAGGAAACGTTTCCATAAAGCTACTCAGTAATGATACCAACATAACATAAAGAAACATAGCATCCCGTGTAAACATAGCATATAGGGCTAGCGCGCGTAGATAGCTTTAAGGGACATGTCCACATAACATCTCGAGAAGATTAACTGGAAAAGGCACACTTAACAGGACCTTGCAAAACATCCAAGATTAATTAATGCAATTTTCAGTCATACATGACAACCATAGAATATGGACATAAAAGACTTGTTGATACGATTCACAAAAAACACACGTATACAATTTGAATTAATGGTGGCTCGCTATTATCGATCTGCTCTTTTTGAGATGCCATTTCGTATGATTGAAACAATTACCCAATTCTTATCTATGTATGCCACCTGGAGGTTAATAAGAACCCTGGGGTCAATGAGGGCAAAGGTCAATATTATCTAATATATCTGAAATAGATAATAACACTGACCAATTTAAAGAATGTTCTTAATGGCTGTGGTTGTAACCATCAGAATCTTTACGACTGTTATAACACACCAATCGACCCAATGGCCTTCAACTTGAGTCAAATACCGGTCGATGCATTTTTCAGAATGTTTATGGTGGTTTTGACAATCTGGACTGCTTGCGATTATCTTTTGTGTATTAACCAGCCCAAGCCATAAACAATGGCCAAAAAAATTCTGGTCAATAACGGGTTCTGAAGATTTTCTTGAGTGAAATGTAAGCGATAAAATTTGTTGTATAATTATTGATCAGTACAGTACAGTAAAGATCTCGTTCCGATTGTAAGAGCGTATCCCCCCAACCCCCCCCCCCCCCCCCCCATCCCCCCTTTCTACTAAATTACTTTTGTCTACTAAATTAATGGCGTAAAACTCCATAACATTCATCCCAACCATAACCGACTAAAAAATACTAGACGTCAAGTCAAATCATGTAAAGAAAATACCGTAAAAACATTCAGCATAAAATGACACTCGATCAGAAAGGCGCCCTGCTGTCAACCTACTTCAAAACGAGGAGCCCTGCAGCGACTTGATTATCTCGACTATAATAGACTCACTTTCCGGTTGAATAGTCTTGAATAACCTGTCTTTCCAGTCTTCAGTCGGTTAATAAACAGATAATGACGGTTACCTCTTGAATTACAACATAATGAAGTGGGTTTCCACAACTAAATACTCTCTTTAGTTATGGATACATACGCCGGGATTATCAAGACACTATTGTATTCATAGTCTTTATTTCATGGACAAATTTAAAAATCATACTTTGCCTAACAAAAAATTGCGCATCCAAAACCTTGGTCGGTTCTGACACAGTAAACAGGAACTTCCTGTTCACAGTACAGTTTTGCCTAAAACGGCGTCACGCTGATTTTAGGAGGACATTTCAATATTATGAATTGGGCAACACAAATAGTCCAATTTAAAAAATGGTCTTCTAGAAGTTTTCAAATTTTTTACAACTTCCAGTGAAGTGACAATAACTCTATTCCGGTAGAGAAGTCTTCTGTGATAGATTCACTATTCCAAATCGTGGGAGGGATTTATAATGTGGTGTCACTTATACCTACACAATTCTTGAAATTGGTAGCATATTAAGTATTAGGGCATCGGAATTTTTCTTGCCTTTAGGCACATATAATCGCCAAGAAGACGACAATCCAGCTCTCTAGGCTGACTCTCAATAAAAGCACTGAACTAGGTCACAGAGCAACAGATAAGCTTCTTCTCACTTTGATGACAATGGTTCTGACTCGTCGAAGCTGTGACATTATAGGCCACAGAAAACGAAAAATAGTTTAACTAGATACGAACATTCACCATTTCACCAATAAAAGGGGAACTGAACATATTTAAACATTTCGAAATACTTAACGAAAAGTCGACTTTGAAAATTTCGGGACCTACACTAAAAATTAGCAAACATATTCAACATGATGTTGATGTATGTAAGCGAAATGTCGTGCCAGCTCGTTATTTGCCAACCAGACGTCAAATTAGTTCAGTCATTATTATTTGTTTGACGACAGCCCAACTCGCCTCATTCCTCCGACTCCTCGCAGGTCAAAGGTGTGTGTACTTGTTTCCTAAATATTTCAACAGGTAAAAAATGGATTTAGTTACAACCGATTACATTATGTTATTTAAACTATTGACTTAACCAGACGCCATTTTACTTTTCGGCTAATGGTAATTGAATTTTACGACGAATCCCTTTTTCAAATTACGATTTCGCAATTTGCTTCGAAAAAAAACAAGGGTCAACTCTTAAAACAAGAACAAAATATTTACAAAATCAAGACCTGTGGTCGGGATAAATCGTATTTATTGTTAGACTAACATGTAGCCTATTGAACTATTAAAAACTGACCCCCACCCTCCATCATCAAGCATTCCACTAACAAATAAAGCAATAAATCTGCGTACAGTAAACAAAAAAAATCAATAATTTTCTGCAGTCTTTGATGTGTTTCCATGACATTGCACCTTTTCTTACCATCAACACTGAGGATTTCTACCAATAGAATTAAGATATGATAAAAAATGTTGGAGGCAAAGTTCATAATTTTGAAAGGGTTGAAAATTAAAGGTTTGTGACTGAAGGAAGGTGACGGTCCACTGCCTGCCTACGAACAACACAATAGTCATCACAGGCTTGAGTTTTACGCTGTCAACATCAATATTATCATTTTCATCTCTATAAATCTTATTGTTAGCTTTTTCTTTTATGTTAGCTTGGTACACATGTCGCTCAGGAATGATGCTTTTGGTGAATATGGAAGCGACAGACCCATTCTCTCTTAACAACTGATGTCTTTGTAAATCGTTGAAACGTCGTGTACACGAAAATCCAGTAGATACTGATGATGACAATGTAAATTGTTGAAACGTTGCTTTCAATAAAACCCATGATTAGTATTTCATATAAACAGATGATGATATTTAAATTGCTGAAACGTTGTGTACCGGTCCCCTTAGACTCCGGGGAAGCGCCCCAAATATACTTGTTATCGCTATGTACATTATTGAAACGTCGTATACAATATACAAGAGTAGTGTACTATATTTTTTAACAGATGATAACAATGTAAATTGTATAAGCGTTGTATTTCATAAAATCCAGGAATAATAGTACGCAATAAATTGCATGATCTCTACCACTGTGCATTTGTCACTGTCGAGAAGAGAATTTCTGAAAGTTGCCTGTAAGTGTAAGCATCCAGCCCCATCCCAGAGAAAAAAAAACAATTCATCTCAATTTGTTCGATCGGTATGAAAACACATGTCTGTATCCCAAAACATTTAGTAAACATTTCATATAATCAATATCGCCGTTGACGTGTAGCGGTGGATGAAATACACACACACGACATCGCTATATAGCTTTTTAAATTACCATTTACTTGAAAAGTTGGGACTGTACTTTAACTATCGTTTGGCATATCAACTTAGAAAAGTTACATGAACTTGTAAAAGAAAAGAAATGATTTAGCAGAACGGTAATAGACTTCTCAACACGGTGCTAAACAAACGAAATGTAATGATACAAAACGATATCCCGGTGCGAGTCGAGATGGCGTATTATAAACACAAGCCTTACCTTCAATGACGGCTAAACATGTTCCAAGCAGGAAGAGAAACCCGGGCTGAGTCGCCATTAGATCGACCACGAATATTCCAAGACAATAATCCGACGATTTTCAAACATATTCCACCATCAACGTCATGTTCTAGTCGGCTACATATTTTATTGTATCTAAAAACCCAGTTTTATTAGAGTATACTCCATATCTTTCCATCTCCTGTCAATCAACGTAGTCTAGGTCATCCAGACACTCGTAAGTCTATTCTTTGTCTCGATGTAAGCCACGCCTCTCATTAAACCCCACTTGTCAATCTTATTGATATATTTAATGTCCAGACGTAACAAAACAATAATCGTGTCTATTAATCTGGGATTTGTATGGTGGGTTTATCTAGAGGGAGGAGTTAAGGCGGAGTAGTTGGTTGAGAGGTATGGAGGGTATTGTATGTTGAATGGCGCCAGGCTGTCCGAGCAGACTTGAGTACATTAAGTAATGTCACCGAGAAATCGTCTGTTGTATTCTAAATCCGAGTATATATTTACTGATGGCCCCTGATTACTATAATACTCTTTGTTTTTATGGCCTATTCACAATAATTACTGGTTTAATACGCGTAGCGCCGGTTGAAATGTTGCGATCTGGCTTGCGTTTGCGCATTTCATGCTCCGCGCTCTCTTTCACGAACACTCGAAGAAAATACAAAACAGTATCCGAGCAACCATCATTTGAAGACCTTTTTTGCAATGTTACTAATATGCGTAGTGATGGATTACATATTGCGACGCTCTTGCGTTCAGTTCCGTTCTCTTCCCCCTTCTTTCATGTTTGCAGAAAAAAACAACAACAACAACGGTTTAAGCTGCGATTAGATGTATACACAAACTCAAACGAAAATACAATAAAAAACGGACCAGCAGATCGAATTTTCTGCTTGCATGTGTCCTCAAAGTCAAACTCAACAACCCCGGCAGCTTGGATTTGCAAATCCGACAACCATCATTTTTTTCCAAGAAGCCACTTGCTCTTGTACTTTTGACGGATGGTGATTTGTGTTGCGACGTATAATTTCTTCGACCGTATTCTTATAGATACAACTTAAGTATATTCAGTTCCACAGTCCTACGCAGAATCGTGTCCAACAAACAGCAGTGGTCAGTGATTTCACCCTAGTCGATAATAACCGTCTAGCAGCAATTTAAAGATTGTTTTCGAGTACAGAGATAATTGGAATTGTCTAGCGCCTTTTGTAATGCCCTGTTTACATTCACAACAACGCATCTGTTTGTTGTATATGGTCGGATTGTAGGCTACATTTGCTCTTTTCGTATCAAATAAGAACAAGAAAAACGTGTTACAAGAACGCAGTTGGACGCAGGTAGTCGGATGGCCATTTACAACAACGCAGCGGGTCGCCAGCTTTCAAATGGTTCATTTACTCATTTCTTTTTTAATCGAGGGATACAAAATATGTTACAAGATCGCAGCTGGTCGCAGGCATTCTATTTACAGAATTTGGCTATGTGAGGCTGCGATTGAATACTATCACATGGTTCATTTGTTCGTTTCTTGTGGTGTAACATGAACACAGCTGGCCATAAACAGCGCATCGTCAGGGATGGTCAAAGAGTTCTCGAAAATAGAGGTCGTAATAGTTCAAAGATTTATGGAATGGCAGTAAGCGGTCTACAGTAGCAACTTTTGTATCCGAGCGGCTTTCTTATGATCATCATGGGTGATAGACTGTTTTGTTCATTTGTTTTGGGGTATCGTAATATATCTGATGGGTTGTATAGAAAACTTAGGTTCATCCCCATTTATCATTAATGCAACATCGTTGAAACATGAGCAAAGAATCGCAGAATTAGCTCCATTTAATTTGTGCCAACTACGCAGACAGAAGGGCCTATATACAGTATATGTGGGATATAACGAGAAACAAAACCGGTATGTAACTAAAAAAAAACTCGCAACAGTTTTTCGTATGCGGTACGACAGAACGAGCTATAAAACCAGAAGAGTATGTAACACAAGCCTAAATTCGCAGATGTCCGACCTAACGTCAGAAACAGAAATAGTCCGTAACAAACCGAAAGTCGCAAGAAAACAGTTTTAAAGGGGAAGCAGAGGCGGCATGTAAGAGGTTGCAGGTCGCAACAGGTGGCCTTACGATATCCGACTGTTCACTTTTTATGCGTTTGTTTTTTATGTAAAGAAAGAACTGTTGAAATGATCGGGGTATTTAAATATAGAGAATGACACTTCAGCCCCCCGTCAAGGAGAAAATTATGTCGAACATGGGTAATTATTTTAATTGCCCAGAAAACATTTCGTTTCAGATTATATAATCTAACCAAATGAGCAAAAACCTTGTAGCTGTGTGTTTTTTATTGTATCCGACTCTCGGGTTAAAGAGGTGCTTAAATGGTTTGTTGATATTGTTGTTTGGTTAAAGGAGGAAGTCAAGGGTCGTTGATTTATTTCAATTTCCTTATGAGCGGGGCTCGGGAAATTATGCGTGCTTTCTTATTTGAGGATCCAAACTCACTTGGCAAGAGTGAGAACATGCTGGTAGTCTTGGAATTTGAGAACACATGCAAACTACTTTAATGTCTGAACAAAAAAGCGGGTGATATAGGTCTTATTGGGTGGAGTTTTACGTCATTCTAGTGATCTTAATTTGGATAATGAGGAATATTTTGTAAAGGCTTCGCCAGCAGCGTATATTTTTACATTTACAATTTTATCGTCGACACACGCAGTCATTGTATTCGAAGGACGATAGGCCTTTTTCGATAGCCCCCACGACCTGCAGAGGAAGAAGGGCGCACTAAAGGTTATTACAGTATACATGCTCTTAAAAGTAGATTTGAAAGGACAGAATTCGTCGCACATTGCACTGTTACTTGCCAAGTGTACGCCCTTTTCAAAATGCTGGATTGAGGGCGGTTGTTGGGTATTATGTTTGAAGGGTTGTCAAGTAAATAGAAGTGTATCAAATTTCACTTTGTTAGGTAGTGATAACATCGGACAAGGCCATTAATCATAAAGACAGTCGGCAAAGTTTTGACATCGATAGTTTTCGAGTTGAGAGAATTACTGTGCTACATTCTGTTAGGTTAAGATACACACCGTGAAGAAATAGTTCCCCATACAGACAGTAGGCTACGTTTGATACATAAGTGTTGGGAAAAATGAAACAAAATAAGTGAGGTTTAACTTCCTACTTTTCGGACTAATGCAGTGTACACGAGGAAATTTGTCAGGACAGTGGCATCACCCTACTCTCTCTCGATTTCCAACTGTTGAGGGATCTTTAACGTGCACAGTCTGTGGCATATTGGACCCCCGATTATTGTCCCATAGGAAGACCAAATTTTCGATTTGGCTATTGATCAAAAAGGGTTATAATAATAAAATATTACAAACACAACGCTCAACACAATACAAATAATAATTGATGAAAAACTAAACACAATTTAAACATAACAAGCAACAGTATTCTGTAGTGACTATAGATGTATGATTTGTTTGTTTGATTCATTGGTTACCGGTACTATTTTTTTGCACTTAGAGGCCACTTATATCATTACTTTATTGAAGATCGAGTCTGTACTTCTTGTTCCTATACCTGCAGTACTGACTGGGCTGAAATGCGAATAAAAACGACTCGGCAACCTAAATAAATACACAAGAATGTCGTATTATCTCATATACTTCATTTTTAACAGTTATTCGTCTGTTTCAATTTATCACATTATATATTTCTATTTCATTTTCCAACTTTTTATTTTTGAATCACCGTGAATATTCTTAAAATCTCAACATTTTTGAATGCATTTTTTTTTTACAAATTGTACATTTCCTTTACTTCATAAAAATATCCCGTGGAACCAAAATATGTTAATGCCACTGTCTTGACATTTTCTCTTATTGTACACTTTTTTGTAATGAAGGTCTTACATTCTGGTCACGTTAAAGAATCCTTGAAAGTTGGATATAAAAAGGAATAGACTTATTTCAGTGTTCTTTGCTGATTAAAATTCGCTCCATTGCATTAAACATGGTGTTGCATGTCTTCATAGGTCCGAAACTAAAAAATAGATTCTCACCTTACGCACAAAGTGAGTTAAATAAACTTTCATTTTTTGGCAAATTGGGTTAAATTCTATATCAATTTGTTCCCCATCCACCCCCTTACTAGCCTATAACATTCTTTCGATTATCTTGCGACAAATGGGTTAATCACTCCGTTCACATGTTGTCTACGGCCTGCGGTCTAGACATAAATTGAACTTCATACATCGCTTACGACACATTTTTGTTTAATACGAAACAAACTTTTACGATAAGATTTATTTTCAACGATTACCAATCACGTTAATTTTGATTACTTAAAACGAAGCCGTAACAATCAATCCGTCTACTACTAGACCGATTTTGATCCGATTTCACTAAACAAAGTACGACTCTTACATTTACTTGCTCTTCATATAGAACAATAGACCTAATCTTCGTAATATTTTTTTGCTAAGTAAACGTAAATGATTAGTTGAAACGGAGACTTAATGATGATTACGACTGGACTTTTGTGTGACAATTTGTGTTTATCATAAAACAAACTTTTACGCCTTTCCAGATTGTTTCAGATTAGGTTAAATAATAACAGAAACGTAGACGCAACAATCAGTCCAATGACACAGTCGGAGACAAAGTAATGCCCAAATGTCAAGATGTGCAATTAAAATTGCTTATGCATGAAGATTCCGACGTACCTTAACGCCATGCAGTGTGCGTGTTGTTAAATTTTATACAGACACATGCGTTAAACTTTTGATTGGGACATGAATATAAAAATTCTAGTTTAAAGTAAGAAACAATCAGCCTTTAAAACGATGGAGCCGCATTATTCTAACAACCATCGTTACGTCATTACGTCGTTAATCCGGAACCGACGGGTTTGAGTAATTCTAGAATTTGGTAATTGACACCGATGAAGTAGTTACGTTTTGGGGTCGCGATAAATATAAATTCATGCATTCCGACGATATATTTTTGGATACACAGGTTGTTTTTTATATTATCCTAGTCCAAGATAATCTGCAATTTTCGGGTCGGCCATTTTGTTTCGAGACAGGCGGCATGGCGACGATGATGTTGTTAATTTTCCCCAGACGAAGCTAATAAAATATTGTTACTATTTATAGCAACATGGTGCCAATTTAATTATTTCGACTAATTAAATCAGACCCTAATTATCATCAAAGTGATTCAATTTGTTTATTTGACTGATGGTGGCCATGTTGGATTCGTATCGATGGTTTCAATCTCTTGGGGGGAGATAAAGAAACACAATTTAATTGTTTACTCCTTAAAAGAGTTCATTCTGACAGTTTGAATAAGTATAGGGACTCGTATCTCCACGTACCGAAATAAAGCTCAGAGCTTCCGCTCTCCCCATTACAATGCTACCCCCATAGGCCCTAGGTCTACTGCTTTTAAAAGATAAAAGTGCATTTCATGCTATCATTTCACCCCTCCCCCTATATACCCTAAATTTAGCAGAAACACTCTCCAGGTCGGACATAAACATAAGGACAACGGGTGATCAAAAATCTATTTTTCTTATTTATTTATTTTATATCATTGATAGATATTGATACGACTTGACTAGGATGCTGCATAGATAGAAAATTCCATGTTGTTATGCCATGTGGCTCAGAGTTTGGAGGAAAGTCTAATTCCTATTTTCTCTATTCACTCACTCTGGTGAGGTGATATATAACAATCACTGTTCTCAGTCGGCAGAACTAAGGGATTAAAGGTGTCTGTTTTGATACAACAGTAAGATAAATGGTATGTCTGTCGCCAGGAAATCCTTGCTGATGCTATCTACAGCTGTTAGAGGGTGGACTTAACACCGTGATGACCATGTCTAAACCGAACTGACACTGACCGATTAGATTTCTGTCACTGATAATTAGATTCAGGATGGTGAAAAATGCCCTTTATATCTCACAATGATTTACGAAGGTTATACAAGTCAGTCAGAATTTAAACGTTGATAGAAGAGTAAAGACAAAAGTTTGTTAGTAAACTTTCCAAAAAATCTAAATTCAAATCAGTTTACGGGGAAATGAACAAAATATTGCTTCACAGGGTTTTTTGATAAGATTGGTGGTCTTAACGTGTTTTACACCAACCGTTGATTTCTTCTTTCATTACTGAACCTTTAACTATAGAACTGAAATCTGACCATCACTCTTGATCAACCAGTCACAAACTATATTATCCGTTTACTATAGTACTGGATAATCGTATTAATGACCCTTCATGCGGCGGCGACAGGATGTCTACATGGTATGGTTTTATCAAAGATGACGTCACACGAGGTAATTTCTGCTGGTCGCTTGTGACGTAACATGACATATGATAAAGTCTATGACGAGTTATAATATCGAACGCGTGAATTCGATTGGTCGCTTAATTACGGGGAATAAAGGGTTAATTTGTAGCCCCTTATCTTTCACGGCACAACAACGTAATCTCCTTTTGTTGAAGGTATGTACATAATTATATGGATTATTCCGCTAAAAAGAGTTTAATTTCGACTAAGTCAATATTTGGGTTCACAAAGGTTAACTTTGTGAGAGTTAAGTATTTGTTTCTTTTTCACGATGAGAACCCATGAGAAATCACTGTCAAGGGAGACAAGTTGAAGAATCTAGTTCTAGTTTTCAGCATGAATTATTGTGCATCTCGTTTGATATTTAGTTGGTTATGTTACCACCGTAGTCGGATTGACTAAATGAAACGATTTACGACAGAGAAGGAGGGGGGAGGGTTGTGGGGGACACAATCTTTTAAGGGGGGCTCAATTTTGTGACAGCTGGATTGACTTGATTTATGAGTGAAGCATGGCGACCAGCATTTGTTCGACGTAAACAAGCAAATGATGTGATATATAAGAATCAACGCTCTAACCGACTGTGCTACAGAACTCCAACAATTCCAAATTAATATGCTTATGAGATTGGAAGTTATGACTCCCTGTGTAATATATTTCCTTCTATTTTGATCAGGATTAAGTTCTTTTGAACAAATTAAAGTTGTTTTTAGATACATAATGATCATTTGCTAATTATAGTAAAAGCAATTGAAATTCACGTCAGGTTTCATAATGTCTACAAACGTCGTCAAAAAGTATAAACATGGGTGAACATAAATTACTTTTTATAAATATTTAAAGGTGCTTTTTTTTCTTCAAGTACCAATCTGATTAAAATTAAATGAAATGAAATGAGTTTACGTCCTACTTTCCTGCACCATGTTCCAATCTGATTAAAGGGATTGTGAAGAAGTTTTCTAAACTTTGTATGTATCAAGGACACAGTAACCATCGATTGGCATCATTTCGAATTTCATAAAGACATCTGTGGTTCTGTGTGCATATTAAGAGAATTCAACAGTATAAAACTAAAAAAGAAATCCAATTTAATCAAATAAATCTGATTAAAAATTAGAAAATCACCAAACCTGTTTTGACCTAATTGTTGCATTAACCACTGTATTTCAGAGATTCAGAAAAAAGCCTGCAAAGGTTTTATTAATTCAATGAATTCCATGAACTGTATGAAGATCAATCTTTGTTCAACTATTATTTGAATTTTTTAAACATATAAACAAGAAATGGTGTTTTTTATATTGAATTTAACTGGTAAACTTTTTATTTCAGTTGAGAGTATAGACCTACCAAATGAACTGATAATCTTAAAGAAACAGAAATTAAAGAATGAACCAATTTTCAGGGAAAAAATGCTTAAAATTGAAGAATTGAAACTGACAACTTTAAAAAATATCCAAGAATCACTTTCATCTATAGAAGAAACTGTGAAAGAAAGATCACTATCATATTCTCCATCAAGTTTAAACCTATCCCCAATAATAAAATTTACTTAACCCATAATTACTTGTAGACTTTGGTTTTGTACCATGCTTTTTCTTTGGTTGAGTCCATTTAATGACTAATGGTTAATATGCTAATGGGATCTACTCCCACAAAACTCGATATGATATGTCTGGCCCTACACAGTTCCGACATCCCATCCAAATATCAGTTCGAAGGAACTGAACTGGTCAGGGCCAGACATATCATATCGAGTTTTGTGGGAGTAGATCCCATTACATACTGTACCTACAGGCATACATTTTAAAGAAACCTTTAAAACCGAGAAATTATTCTTTGTCTCAAAGCTTGGGCATCCCTATTTGGCTGGTGATTATGGACATTATTTTGGTAAACATGGCGTACTTCGCCTCCCTGTATCAATGGCACACGAGCCTCTATTGCCTTGTTATGTAATCTAAAGCAGGTCTCTATAATTCTTGAACACTTCAGGGGTTTGTATGGAAGGCTGCCTTCTGTCTTATGACTGCATCTGAAAAGAGAAGAACAATGATAATGATGGTCTACATTCTAATGGAGAATTTTTTCAAATCTACATTTTAATATATGCCAAGAAAAGATTAATTACGGATACCTATACCTGAATCTTGATTTGAGGACACCAAAAGCCCTTTCCACAACAGTTCTGGTTTTGCAGTGGGCTTTATTATATCTCACTTCTTGAGGAGTAGCTGGATGCAATAATGGCGTCATCAACCATGTCTTCAGGGGGTAACCTGAGTCTCCTAAGAGCATTCCACCTTCAGGAAGATTCATCACAGCTTCTGGAACACTTGAACTTTGTAAAATAAAAGCATCGTGTGTTGATCCAGGAAACCTGCAGTTGATGTTCAGAAATCTAAAAATATATAAAATTTACGGAAAAATTAATTGATTGTGATATTTCTTGACGAATGTATATCAAGGTGCAAACATTTTCGAGGGAAGTAACTCTTAATGGATTGTATACTTCCTGACCACAATTAATTAAGTGCTGACGAAAGGGCCTAAACTCCTGTTAGGAAATCTATGAACAATAATTATTATCGGCCGAAGCAGATTCCTTTTCAAAAACTAATATAGAGCTGTACCAGGTAAATGTAATATATTAAATGATTTATACATCGTGATACCATATTTTTAACATCTTTTAAAATTTTATGACAAAATCAAAAGTGTTTGAATTAGCCATAGCAACTGAATTTGAACAAAAATTATAACGATTGTATTCTGTAAATATACAATAATTCTCTTATCATTACCTCATTTTAGCATCTACTACAGCTTTGATGTTCAAGGAATGGAATCCCTTCCTGCACACGTAAACGTGTTCATCATCAGATGACATTCCTTGGATAGGAATTAGAGTACCATCAATGGCGCCTACAACATTTGGTACCTGTGCCATGTCATAAAATTCCTCCTTGATCCTTCTCAATTCTTCTGTATCATTTGGAAATAAAATATTATCCATATTGATACAGATGGAATTACAAACGGCTGATATCGATCGTGAAACTGAAGATTTGGTGACTCCATGGATATCACCAGTTTCGGACTGGAAATCTCCTTTTGCGAGGAAACGCAAAGTCACCAAAACCTGAAAAAGATGTGCGCAGATACAGACCACGAGGAATAGACATTAAGGAAAATTTATATATTTTGGAGTTATATCTAGTCATAAATATTCATGTGTGAAGGCCTACAGTCTGAATAAACAAACTTTTTGAACATTCTTGATCGGTAAATAAGGAAACTCATCTTTAATCGACATGAGATGAAATCGGGTAATGATTATTTTACTATAAATTTATAAAACGATTGACCGATAGATGTTTGTATATTGTGTAATAATCATTGCACATGCATCAAATGCTGTATTTTGGTAAGTAGGCCTACGTGACTCGATATGCGCGTGCTAATTTATAGAACCTATTTAATGAAATATTATGCGTATACAGTATAATTATATGAATTTATTTAAATTATGTGTTTTAACGCATGTGCTGAGGGTGAAGCTGATTGAGCTAATATGACACCTGTTTATATATCGGGAGGGGGATTTGTATCAAACAAAAGGCTTTTTCCACGATTTACAGGAACGAGGGGTTCTTTTTTGGGACTAGTACTTTTAGCAACCTCTCGTCATAGTTTGGAATTATCTTGCATACCTGAAGACATGGTTTTAGCGCATTACTTCTGCATGTCGGCCTTCTGACATCATTTGATACCATCCCAATTATTTCCAAGATAACTGCTCGTGGAAACCGGTACCTCGAAATGAGTTGGTTGTTATCGAGAGTTTCAAGATCGTTCGACCTGTCGCGAAAAACTCTCTCTCGTCGTAAATTACGGCGGTATGCATCTTGCAATAAAATCAATGCAGCCATTTTGGAATTAAAAGTTCGCAGACGACTTCTAACGAGTACCATACTGTGCACGTTATTTAACGCATAACTTTAATCGTAATTTAGCGTTACGAATTTTTAAGAAACACGTTTTTGACGGTAAATAACGTTACGAATTTTTTAACGTCTAACGTTATTTTACGTATTTCACAAAACGTTATTTAACGAAAGAATTTTCTAGAAATACATTTTACGTTAAATAACGTTTTTCTTTATTTAACGTGCAAGATTAGTCGCACAAATTTTTGAGAAACGGGGTTCTGTTGTTCTTTCAATACCACTAAAACTAAGCATTCTATGACGTCATTATCGCAAAAGTCGCTCTATAAACTACGATCTATGCGATTGTATCGTAACAAAGAAACTGCTTCCGTGAAAGTTACGCTAGTGCTGCTGAGGATTGCCGCATGGTGGCATCCAGTTTTTTTGCTTTCGGATGCTAAAAGGGTTGTGGGGCCCGAGTAAATATTGTTTATGGCTATGATTTTGGCCAACGGAAATTTTCTCAACTTATCCAACAAAATACAATTTACGAGCCTGCTTCGGTTCACAAAAGATGATAGCTTTTGCTTTATTGAGATCATACCTTAACTTACGTGTCGAAATATACACATAAAAACTTGCAACTTTATATTTCGACTCAGTCCCATTCCTCGGATGTGATATGCAGGTGTGTTATCAGGAACCTAAACCTAAATCATCCGAATATCACGGCTAGATTTGCCTGGCTACACTTTTTTCTTGGGTGTCGAAATATACATATAAACATATGTGACTATATAATTATGTCGACTAGGTTCAATGATATAAAGTTTGATTTCTTAAGAAATGAAAAAAAATCGATGAAATAATACGTTTTCGCGATGACGTCCATAAAACGGACAATGTACGTCTAGACTCATATATCACAGGTCCTCGAAAACCTCACACTTCTAAGGTTACGCACTTAAGATTTATTTAATCTTTTAATTACATTGTCTCGTAGCGTTAACAGGTCCCTGTGACTCGGATCGTTAGAGGCAAGAACACTTTCACAATACATTCGGTGCGCATGAAACGAAATGTTATTGTCTCCAATTTGTCAATATTAATCTAGTGTCCTTTTGATGATAAGGCATTAAGAGTTATTTGCCCTTTAGCTGTCATCTGATACTGACCCTACAGGTGTTATTATTATATTTGACCATTCAAAGAGTTCTGTATCGTTAAAGCTGACGTTTTGTTGCAATTGAAAATTTATAACGAGTGAGATGTCGATGAAAAGTCAATACTCATTAACCCTTTCTGTCTCGTTAGACTCGGACAATTACGAGTTAAAATAAACGGCAGGTTATAAAATTTCTAGTTGTTTAAAATCAAAGGAAACGTAAACCTAATAATTATCATTAGCTTTAATGTATACCGGCGAGATGCATAGTACGGGTCGAAGTCTGTTGCGGATTGTAGGCTAATATGCCTACGCCTATAATAGCAAGATGGCCACCAAGCTCGGAGTGTCTTCGGGAGGTGGGAAAGGAAGCAGGCCCTGTAATGTCAAAAAGATTATTGTTAATGTGACGTTTATATATTTGTTTTTGACAATTTGATTTGGGACCTTTTTTCATTGAGTTCTTTTAGAAGTAGTTCGTAATGAGCGGTGGCGTATTTAGTAGAGGTCTTCCAAAAAACTAGACGCTCTTTCCATGTGGGCCACTCCCACCTGCCCCCATCCTCTAATGATCTCGGAATTTATCTTCTGTTTTAAAATCAAACGACTGACAGTGTCCATTTTTAAACGGACAAGTGTCATTACTAACACTTTAAAAGCATCACTTGAAAATCCTTAATCTTGATTGCATTTTAATTAAAGGGCGATAAATCTCTTTATATTCACGTTACTTCGATAATGATAATCCAAATTAATCCAATATTCTTTGCCACTTTTATGTTTAAGTGCACAAACACTCCAGCCACTACCCTCGGGCACTAATGGATGTGTCAAAATTAACACCAAATTAAAAATAATTGATGTCTGTTGTTATTCGTCGCCCTCCTTAATGTCTGCCAATATATTTGACATCATGGTCATCATTTTTCTCCAATAATTTTGGGAGTTCTTGAACTTCTGATGTTGTGGCCAACTTATTTGTCACTAAATAGTATTTACTAGTAAATTTCCATTTGGGATTCCCTCATTATTGCACATTACTAAAGTCGTTTGCTCGCTGACCTGGTTATAGGTGTTATAGAAGATACTCTCCTATAGAAGCACTGGCCCAGGTCACAAGTAGAGACTATGGATTTCAACATGAAAACTATTTCAATTCAAACAGGATACGTTCTACTGAAGATATTCATAGATTATTACTTCTGGAGAGATTACAAGAAAAAATATATTCAACTCAAATTCCAATGCAATTGTTTCAGGGAGTTGATGAAAGGGGTTCTAATCTACCATGAACCAATACATTACTAAAGTTTTTATTTCTTTTATATGCAGTGACCAAACCTTTAGTATAAACGTTATAGTGTTGGATATTTAGGCCGTTAGGTATGACTGTTTGTAGTTGGTCTATCCAAATACCTTTGCAATCGCTTGGTTTTTGGTTTGTTCAATGTTGATACAGGTACTTTTCCTATAGGCATAACAAGAAGGTCTTCAATGGAATGATTGAGTAAATTGAAATGATTCGCAACCGGTCTTTCTTTCTTATGGAGTATATCGAAGCGATGACCGCTAAGACAAGTACAACGCGTTTTGAGTGTGGTCAAGACTTGTATCTCGAAATAGGTCTAGATATACCATCGGATCGGTTGTCACGCAGGTCGGATGTACTGACATGAAAACAGCGTCTCTCCGTTCGGATAGGACGTTAAATAGAGACCCTGTGTGCTATACATTCCTCAATCACATTTTATACGTATTTGTCTCAATATATGTGCCAGAATGCACCATATCAATTCGCGAGAGCACCCTCTCAGACGCTCCTTCGATATCTAGGAATTAATATTATTTCGATTAAGCCTAATGTCTTCACAGAATTCAACATCGCATTGCTTTATTAATCTTATTGTATTAATCACAGAAAGATTGGTAGGACGTTAAATTCCATCTTATTTCATTTTTTACAATTTCATAGTTGTAGTATTCAGCCTGCAATTCTAAAGGACTCGAACCACTAACACGAATGTTATTAAGAGAAATCCTCTTTCTCCCTCTCTTTTGGGTTTTTCGCTGCCTATTTTTGATTAATATTTGGTCTAGATTTGGGATTTGATGCCTGAAATTGCATTTTCATGCGGAAGGTGTAATTCTAAAAATAGTGTGCAGTGACAGATGTTGATAAATTGTAGTGGTTTACTTTCAGTTTGGCTAGTTTTTCACGGTCATGATATATTGAATTTTTCTCCAGAAACTAAGTATTAAGCTTCTATGTCACAAATTGGAAAGTTTTCAACGAGATCTCTGGAAAAAGTTATAGAAGGTTGAATTTTGTGATTTAACATGGCAACAGATGGCAAATGAATTACTAATATAAAAACATATTTACTGAGAGCTATCTTACGACACTATACTTCCCCACACCCGCCTGTCTACTATCACAGGAAATGACGTAGGCGATGGCAAGATCTCGTTGTAAATGTATACAACCCTAAGAATGCCGTCTTTGGGAGAAGGGGGGCAGGGGGAGGAGGGGTGGGGGGGGGGGGTGTCATGGGGTAATTACCCGTAAGTCCCCCCTCCCTTTTACCAATTTTTGGCCCTACCTCGGTCTTTCCACATAATGAAATGCAAACTGTTTATAGTGTAGTGTAAAATTCGGAAATAGTCCGAAGTTGTTTTAATGTGACTTGGCTTATGTTGGGATTTTTGTTAAAAGAGGAATAGGATTTTTTTCATTAGAACGAATATTCATAATATATGTAAAAATAATTGTTCAGAATGAGTTTTCAAGAAACATGACTACAGGATATCCGGATTATCACTTATAATGGAGGTTTCATATAATAGAGTACATTACTTTTTGCTCTGTGGTGGCCTTGTGCTGGGAATGAGTTTGTCAGAAACTTGACTACAGCATATCAGTATTACAATCGACTGTTGCTTTGAAAACTGTTTTTATCAAAGAGCGCTTTATTCCGGCCCAAGATTAGTAGATAACTCTGACGCCAAATTCATGACGGCTGTAAATTGACGGAATCCAGAACCCGGTATGAAATTGAAGATTGGGAATCGAATAATGAAATTGACTGAATGTGGACGAATAAGATTGTTAGAGTGGGAATAATGATGCTGTTATACGTCATGCAGTATGCGATGAAGGAATTTTGTTAAGGCCATCCCCGTTAGCGTACTATTTTCAATTTCTACTTGTGTTGTGTGATGTTCAAAATGTTTAGTCTTTGTAAGACACTGGTCACAGGTTTGTACTGCCTTTACAAACGACGTTCCCAAAAATTTCTAATTCACGACCAATGCTTGTGAGGGCAAACCCTTGCTTGTTAGATAAATCTGGTAGGTCTACGCTGACCTGTATCTGTAGTGACGTTTCTACCTCCCTACCCAAAATTAAGACTGCAGCCATGTCCGTGGCTCATCCCCCTCGCCACTTTCAAGTTTACGTTCTTAAATGAAGCTGTAAAGCTCGTTGGTAGGCTAATTCTGTGGTCCCTTTCTCTGGCATCACATCTAATATAGGCAACATAAAACCGCCAGTGGTCGGATCTGTAGTTTTGGCATTGTGACTATCTCTTCAAAAGTTATCTTTCAAATAAGTAAGCGAAGTCATAAACGTTAATATTCTACTTTACGATAACTCTTAAATCTAATTAGCAAGAGCTGTCTAAAATGGCAGAATAGTTAAGGGGACGTAACTCTAATTTTACCACCCACTATAAAGACTCAAATATGTACGCTTTTTTAATACCTCGTCGAACTATCAAATATACAGACACAAATATAATACGTAAATACACCTCTACACAAACAGAATAAACTATGTGCACTCACTTAAGGTACATGTAATAGATATAGCAAAATATAATATTATTGGCTATATGAACTCTTTTAAAGGAATAATAACGGGGTTTTCTTAATATTTTAATGTTTGTCGGGGACACTGATCAATTTTCACCGTTTCAATTTCTTGTCAGACGTATGTGGTTCCTGCAATTTCAGCTAAAAATTAGTGTTTTCAAAATATGCTTTAATTACATAGACCGCACACGATGGACAAAAGAAACATTGTGGATGGACGGCTTTGTCACATGACTTTATTAGTCACATGACCACAAGATTCAAAAATAATTGAAAAATCTACACAAGATTTGTGTACTTTAAACACAGAATCCAATACAGAACTTGTGTATCATTTTTTTTCTAACACATACTTGAGCAAATTGATGATATCAGTGCCCCCGGTGCACATGAAATTTAATCCAATTAACTCCATAGATCTAATAATATCGTTTGCTATATCTACTGTCTGAGGAGTTCTTCAAGATCTTATAGAATAGCAGACCGGAGGTCCGTGGAAAAGAGTGTGGACCCTCTATAGCCTACAGATCGGACACTGATGACAGACTACGCCCTGTATCTTGTATTGTCTGTGAATGTAGTTAGATTTTGGGCAATCCAGTTCACGACAAACATACTGAGGACATATTCCTTTAGGTCTTAGACTTCTTTTTACCACCTAAAAAGATAAATAAATGAAAGGAAATAAATTGATTCTTATTCAGACATTCACATTCATAGCATAATATATTAAAGTAAAATGAAATGAAAAATGAAATGAATGGAGTTTTACGTTCTACTTTTGTGCACCTTGTGGGCTAATGAAGACGGGCAACGCCATGCAGAGTGCCATGAGGGAAATTTTGCCAGGACAGCGGCATTAACCTGCTCTTTTTCGATTTTCAACTGTCGATTTAACGTGCAAAGCCTGTAGCACACGGGGCCTCGGTTTATTGTCCCATCCGAACGACTAGACGCTTTTTCTATGTATATATATATTAAAGTAGACAAGTAGTTAAAGGAATTGTACAGAAGTTGTCTAAAAAATGTGTGTATATCGGAGACACAGTTAGCATTATTCAAATTTTGGTTCCTGCAATTCCACTTACACTATAAAGTGTTGAATGACGTTGCGAAGGACCTTATGAATAAAGCATATTTTTGCGCTATCCTCAGATTCCAGGGTTCCATCCCGGCATAGGTCGAGAAAGTAACACCCGATTGGTTGATGATGATGATGCTGGTCGGAGGGGCTGACATGGAAATAGATAGGTGTAGATGTTTGGATGGGACAATAAATCGAGGCCCGTGTGCAACAGACTGCAGTGTATGTTAAATATCCCTCGACAGTTGGAAATCGAAAAAGAGTAGGCTAATGCAGCTGTCCTAAAAATTCCCTCATTGCGTTACCTGTCTTCGTTAGCCCATCACAAGATGCATAATTTCATATCAGCGATATCTTAAGAGAAGGGGACAGAATGTGAGAATAAGAAAACACATAGCAGCATGAAATAGAATTAAATATTTTCCCTCTTCTCCTTCTCCCCTTACCCAATGTTCTGGTATTTTTAACACAAATATAATATACATTGTGTACTTACGCCATGCAAATCGCGAACATCAAATCCCGTAGGAACACTAGTCACTACATCTGAAATAAAGAAGACAGTCACGACATTAGACTGTTTGTATATAAACCACTTGTTGAATCATCAGTGATACAGTATATACATGTATTACTTTTTCTCCATTAACTAAAAGCAAATCTTCAAATGATTTATCTTGTTTTCAAGGGTTATTGCCATCAAAACAAATTGTAATATTCTCCTCACAATTCGTGTAGCTTACTTTCAGCTATCCCATTACACTTTTTAGAATCAAAATTAGAATTCCGCTCAACTGTAGACTATTGCCAGAGCGTTAACTTTCTTATTGGTAAAAGGGTCTGAAGCAAAGAGAGTGAACATCTCGTTGATTGTAGGAGAACCTGAGATTAAGCTCATTATGACCCGGGTGACCCGGGTAGGCCTAGTTGATATTTAGCTTTATCAGCTAGCTAGTTAACTTCTTGGTCTAAATTTTGAAATCTTAAAAAAGTATAAATAAGTCTAGATACTTACTTAAAAATAAAAGAAACGAAAATACTAAACAAATTGATAACAATGTTACTCTTGCCATGTTTGAGCTGTGACATGTGCTACACTGAATATAAGAATCGTCGGCAAAACGTTTATACCTAGGATAACTTATTAAGTACGGTATCCGGTTTGTGTCAAACAGGAACAATTTGATATCTGAAAACAAACTAATAGGCAACGACGCAGAAAATAAAAGGACTGGTATTTATGCGGAGTTGGTTCCGTAAATGAAATGATATCCTCAGTGGGCCAACAAGCCTTCAGCATACCTTTATTAGTTCATACTCTATTAGAAAATAGTAGCTTACTGAGTCAATAACATGTGATTCTACACTTTTGTTTTAAATATTTATTTTAGACTAGTAATTTCAGCATGATTATAGTCTCTGTTATCACATTGACTTCAATATAGTAAAGTTAGAGTCTGGACAATCGAATCTATCTGTCTCGTTACGTCATCTGTCTTCAACGTCATTTACTAAAAATAGATATTATATATTCCTACACTCTAAATAAAAACAAAAACATTGCAGAATTTTCAGAAAAAGTTTCGACTTAAAATCAAAATGTCATTTGACGTTTTGAAATTGTTTAGATATTGAATAAATCAAGTGAAAGGAGACTGTCATCAAATTTTCACGAAAAATGGAAGAATAATCATGGTAAAAAAACAACGCACTATATTTATTGCACATGAATATCTCAAATAAGTACTAAGGCTTGAAGGAGAAAGCAGAAAATTTTATCATTTTGTGCGTCGTATTTTTTCTAATTTATTTGTGATCCTGGCGTCAAAATTGTAGATAGAAATTAATTGACGAAGGGTCGAGAGGAAACATGTCGGAAAACCTGATAGCTACTGCTAGACACTTGGACAAAGAGGATCATGAGCAGCCAGAACCTTTTCGAGTCGAGCCGAATATTATGTGGCCAGATTTTAAAGCTGTGGTGAGGCCTTCTTTTCCATATTAATTGTCCATAATTTACAATGTCATGCTAAAATTTTCAACTTGTGCAAAGACGAATTATGGTTGAAGGCTAGATTGCCAGCATAGTTTGTCGTCCATTTGAATGCTTCTGCCCTCGGGCATTGTTTTTATGTGTTTGTTTACTAAAGAAATGTGTCTAAACAAATAACGATTGGCGATTGGTTGGTGCGATTTTAATCAGCTGTGTCTTAGATATTTATACTTTATGTGATATATTTTTATGGTCTTTTGTGTTATAATACCATGGAGAATTTAACTACATGTTAATATATAATTGTCTATCAATTTTTGATATCTTAATATTTTAAAGCAAAGTTGAGGTTACATAATTTTTTTTATTATTAATTATTGTTATGGAAGGGAAGCCATTGATAGGGTTAAAAGTCCATTCTGTTTTTGTCTCTAGCCCACATATGTTATGTTATATGGGATCTTACACCTGAAGGAAGTTGCTCGTTGTAATTTTTGGTAACCCTAGATAGGATCATATGTGTAGGCTCTAGCAACTGGCACTGAACTGGAAACTCTTAACATGATGGCACATATCAGAATTAAAACATGTACAACTGCCTAGCCTAACTCAATGTTAGATGTTAAGTTGATTCTGAAACATGTGATGGTGGGGTATTGCATTTGCTACTTACATCAGAAACTATAAATAGACTATGACTTTTCACAATCAAGAATGATCTGTCATTCAAATAATAAATAATGTTTTATTGAAATTATACATCAGTAGTATTTTTACTTGTGACAAATTCAAAACAACTCGAAATACAAAATTGCAACTCAGGACACTTTTTAATAATCATGGACCAATGTTAAAGACATCTTGGAGAGTTATCTTTTAAAAATTGGTCTGATTTACAGTAGACCACATCTGAGTTCTGTAAATGATAACGACGCTAATCAGTGGTTTGGATAAACAGAAAAAATCACTTAGTCACTTATTGGCAATCAGATAATCACTTGTATTACCGTACTGGTATTGATAATCTGAATCAAGTCACATGAAAACAAAAGATATCTATTATACTGATTTAATCACCTCCAATGACCTTGCTTTAAGACAAATGTAGAACAAATGACTTTCTCATGTCAAACCTTCACTTATCCCATTTGTAATCCATATATCTTGGTATGTTAGAATTATTTATTTGTATTTGTAGGTTATAGCTCAATATGAAGACCCTCCAGATGATGTGATCATCAAATATTCAGATGAGGACAATGATATGGTTAGAATTAAAATTTTTCTTTTTAAATTTGATTTAAAGGAACAGGTTAAGAATGTTAAGAATACCGGTACAACTCTTTTTCTTGAGACTCTGCAATAAAAACATAAGCTTATATAGAAATAGAAAGTGAAATTCCTAGTTTGAGGTATTTTTGAAGGAATTATTTTCTTTTTGTGTATTTCTACTTTATTATTTATATGTTTGCTTTCTGAGTAGATAGGATTTGGTGATGACAACAAAAGCTGCATTGTCTAATGCTTCTTAGAATACACCGTTGAAGAGGAAAGAAATGTGATTGGCTATATGAAAAAAAAAAAACACTTACCTGCAGTTTATCAACTCTAAAACTTAATTTTGCTATGTTATTTTAGATTATGATGAGCACACAAGATGAACTGTTTGAAGCCATGAAGGTAAGTCAAATTCATGTCTTCTTAACTGTTGAGAACAGAACAGTTAACATTTCAATGAACTATAAGATTATTTCCCCCTGAGTATCTTGTCCAACAGATTGGACTTGAATCGAAGTGTCTCCTCGTGTTGTGATGTAGTGTAAGATACCTCAACAGTTGGAAATAAAGAATAAAGAAACCTTAGACTCTATCTGACCCTTGACCTTTTAAGCAATCCATAAAGTCAAGATGACAAAATATAAGATAGAAACATAAAATGTTTTTATTAGCCATCATTGGTATCAAATGAACGACAAAGGAAAGTGTAGGTGTCAGTTCAGCCCAGACCATCAGAAACTTTGTCTGTCTATATAGCAGGACTCTGTCTTACTGTACTGGTTCTGTCTTGATAGCATAGTATTGTGTGTCTTTATAGCCCTAAAAGAAAAACAAAAGTAGGATGTAAAACTCCATTTCATTGTATAGAAGTATATTGATACAAAATGAAAGTAGACTTATTGATATGCTGCAACAAAATCAGTCAGTGAAGTAGATATAGCCATCCTAGATTGTTTAAGTCTAGTTTTCCTTTCCTTAGCGGGACTGTCTCAACCAGTATTAAAGGTGTTAATCATGTAATACTTAAAACTGCATGCCATCATATAGAGGAATATGTCCCTTTTTTATTTTAAAGTTCCTACTAAGAATATCACAAACAGCTAAAAAAAAAAAATAGTCTATTTACGTAAACATTTACGAGCCTATAGGCTCCTTTATTTCTATTCAAGCAGACATTGGATTATGAAAACTAATAATCGCAATTCTATATGTTGAAATTAAATCAGATTGTCACTTTAAAGAATTTCAAATTATTACTTTTTTGTAGACTGCTGCTGATAATGGAGGAATCATGCAGTTGGAAGTGAAGGGGATCAAGAAGACTGAAAGTGCAACAGAAAAGAAAGCATACCCTGCTCCTGTGACACAAATTGACGCTACTCGAATTTTACCAGCCATCCCCCGAAATAAAGTGCCACATACTCTACCTTTAATCACAGTCAACAGGTTTGCCATAGTTTTACTCCATTTTGAATGTCTCCTCTACAGGTTTATAAATTGCCAATTAGGACATATGAGTTGCTAATTGTGAGTGGCTTTAGGTGAATTAGACATTGTTTGCTAACATGACATAGGTGGAGACATCATACGATTTTTTTCTTCACAAAACATGCTCAGTAAGTGTTGGAGGTAGGAAAGGTTGAAATGAATAAAGCGTCATAATGCTGATTTGGAAAATGAAACAAGATCCCATGTGCTGCAGACTGTGGATGTTAAAATTCCTGGTCAGTTGTTAAAATGGCTGATGCTGCTCTCCTGGCAAAAGTTCTCTAAGGGAAAAAAAAAAACTTAAAATTTAAATATTTAAATTCGGACCCATCAAAGCAGGGGTTCAATCTGAGTGTAATTACCCTAATTGGGGTAATTTTAGAATTGTTCAGACGCTTTGTAGTCTAGCATAAAATCTTTTGACAAATAAGTGAAGTTATCTAATTCAGTCAAATATTATTTTCCGACATGTAAAAGATTGGTTGGAAACGTAAGAGAAAACTACGAAATATTAAGGATTTATAGAGAATCCTGAAAAGGTTAATACTAAGAAAAAGCCCAGTTAAAAATGTTGTGTATTCTGTTTTTTTTGATAGTTCCGATCAGCCATCAACGAGTGAGATGGCAGAACCCGCTGATATGAGAGAAACAGGGGAGATTACTCCTAATTCAGACAGAGACCAAGAAACTGGATTATATTTAACAAAGGTAACGTTTTAATGTATCTAGAACTATTTTCGCAGTAATCAAATCAAAGTAGAATGATTATTTTAAAAAAATTGGAATATCAGCTTTGAATTTAAACTGTTAGTCTTGGTGTTAGACTTTGTGTTGAAATGAATGTGAACAAGAGCAAGCACTATTACTGTTATCTCATTTTTATACGCCCACATGAAATGGGGGGGGCGTATATTGTCGTCACCCATGTCCGTAGGTCCGTCCGTCCATCCACAACTGCTCGTAAACACTCTACAGGGCACAATTCTTGACGTATTTTAACGAAACTTAGTATGTGTGTTTGCAATCACCCAAGGATAAACCCTATTGTAAATCAGAGAAATCGAAAAATATTTAGCATGAATTATTGCCCTTGTTAATTTTTAGCTCGTAAACACTCTAGAAGGCACAATTCTTGACAGATTTTGACGAAACTTGGTATGAGTGTTTGTAATCACCCAAGGATAAACCCTGTTGAAAATCAGCGAAATCGAAAAATATTTAGTATGAATTATTTCCCTTGTTCTTGCAAACGCGTTCAATTTTTAGCTCGTAAACACTCTAGAAGGCACAATTCTTGACAGATTTTGACGAAACTTGATATGAGTGTTCGTTATCACCCAAGGATAGACCCTATTGAAAATCAGCGAAATCGAAAAATATTAAGTATGAATTATTGCCCTTGTTCTTGAAAACGCGTTCAACTTTTAGCTCGTAAACACTCTAGAAGGCATAAGTCTTGAAGGATTTTAACGAAACTTGGTATGAGTGTTCGTCATCACTCAAGGATAAACCCTATTGAAAATCAGCGAAATCGAAAAATATTTAGTATGAATTATTGCCCTTGTTCTTGAAAACGCATTCAATTTTTAGCCCATAAACACTCTAGAAGGCACAATTCTTGAAGGATTTTAACGAAACTTGGTATGAGTGTTCGTTATCACCCAAGGATAAACCCTATTGAAAATCAGCGGAATCAAAAAATATTTAGTATGAATTATTGCCCTTGTCATTGAAAACGTGTTCAATTTTTAGCTCGTAAACACTCGAGAAGGCACAATTCTTGAAGGATTTTAACGGAACTTGTTATGAGTGTTCGTAATCACCCAAGGATAAACCCTATTGAAAATCAGCGAAATCAAAAAATATTTAGTATGAATTATTGCCCTTGTTCTTGAAAACACATTCAATTTTTAGCTCGTAATCACTCTACAGGGCACAATTCTTGATGGATTTTGACGAAACTTGGTATGAGTGTTTGTAATCACCCAAGGATAAACCCTATTGAAAATCAGCGAAATCGAAAAATATTTAGTATGAATTATTGCCCTTGTTCATGCAAACCGTTCAATTTTTAGCTCGTAAACACTCTAGAAGGCACAATTCTTGACAGATTTTGACGAAACTTGGTATGAGTGTTCGTATTCACCCAAGGATAAACCCTATAGAAAAATCAGGGAAATCGAAAAATATGTTATGAATTATTGCCCTTGTTCTTGAAAACGCGTTCAATTTTTAGCTCGTAAATACTCTAGGAGGCACAATTCTTGACAGACTCTACAAGTCACAATTTTTTTGTTCATAATCACAATTTACAATAGATGTCATTATTTTCCTGAGAAACCATTTTGGTTAACAAATAAGAAAATTTAATTTAATCATTTAACATGTCCCTAACCAGCCACCATACATGTACAGCATCATAAGATACTATAAATAGACCAAGTGGAAAATCCAAGACAGATATCCAATCATAGCTTAGTCATGTGACATCCCAAGATGCAGCAGTTTATCTGATTTCATTTTATAAATGTCATTCAAGAGAAAAGGTTTGCATAATCATTTCATTTTCACCAATTGTGCTGATACAAAAATGAAATTAAACATGGATCATAGGGGAAAGGTTTTGTTTCTTGGAAGATTGAATTGAGTTGCTGGATAAGTAGGCTACTACAGGAAAAATATTTAGTATGAATTATTGCCCTTGTTCTTGCAAACCGTTCAATTTTTAGCTCGTAAACACTCTAGAAGGCACAATTCTTGACAGATTTTGACGAAACTTGGTATGAGTGTTCGTATTCACCCAAGGATAACCCCTATAGAAAAATCAGGGAAATCGAAAAATATGTAGTATGAATTATTGCCCTTGTTCTTGAAAACACGTTCAATTTTTAGAAAAAATTTAATTTAATCATTTAACATGTCCCTAACCAGCCACCATACATGTACAGCATCATAAGATACTATAAATAGACCAAGTGGAAAATCCAAGACAGATATCCAATCATAGCTTAGTCATGTGACATCCCAAGATGCAGCAGTTTATCTGATTTCATTTTATAAATGTCATTCAAGAGAAAAGGTTTGCATAATCATTTCATTTTCACCAATTGTGCTGATACAAAAATGAAATTAAACATGGATCATAGGGGAAAGGTTTTGTTTCTTGGAAGATTGAATTGAGTTGCTGGATAAGTAGGCTACTACAGGAAAAATATTTAGTATGAATTATTGCCCTTGTTCTTGCAAACCGTTCAATTTTTAGCTCGTAAACACTCTAGAAGGCACAATTCTTGACAGATTTTGACGAAACTTGGTATGAGTGTTCGTAAGTCACAATTTTTTTGTTCATAATCACAATTTGCAATAGATGTCATTATTTTCCTGAGAAACTATTTTGGTTAACAAATAAGAAAATTTAATTTAATCATTTAACATGTCCCTAACCAGCCACCATACATGTACAGCATCATAAGATACTATAAATAGACCAAGTGGAAAATCCAAGACAGATATCCAATCATAGCTTAGTCATGTGACATCCCAAGATGCAACAGTTTATCTTGGTGTGATCATTGAAATTGATAAGATCTCGGACAAGTTCTAACTTGACGCATTTTCGATGAAATGATTTTGAGTTAATGCCATTAAGTTACGAAAAACGCGTCAAAATTTGTTTGTGAGCACAATAGAAGCTACAGTTTTCAACTGATTCTGATGAAACTTGGTGTGATCATTGGAATTGATAAGATCTCGGACAAGTTCTAACAAGAGATATTTTTGATGAACATTTTTTGAGTTATTGCCCTTGACTTTGTAAACATGCGTTAAAAGTTGTTTTTTGCCCTTGATTAGAGCTGTGTGATTTAATTGTTTGTTGTATTTGTGTTATTGATATTGATTTTAAAAAATTTTGTGGAATTATTCAGCATAAATAATTTCTTCAATATGAGAAAATTCGTACTTTAGTCACTAAAGACTGTTTTATTATTTTTGACAGCTGCCAGTGGGCGTATGTTAGCTTGCAACGCAAGCTATCTTATTTTATAAAGGACAATTTTCTGTCAAAATTAGGGACTTTATTTGGTTGAAAATTCTCGGAAGGAGGTATATTTCTTTTCAATGTAAACTTGATATTTGTATCAAACTGCAAAGTCATCAGTACCCTTTTGAAGCTTATATTCAAATTCAGTTTTATAAAATAGACAAATTTCCATTTACCAATAATCTTATTGCCTACAGTTGCCTATTTATAGCAGTGATAAGTTCATATTCTGGAGCCAAGAAAATGTTCAAAACATAAACACCAGGAATCTATTTATTTTTGAGATAATTGATAATTATGAGTCTTCCTTGCATAGTTTCATCTAGAATAAGGATAATCCCGAAAAAAATCATTACCAAGATTTTTGACCAAACTAATTAAGTTAATTATCATTCCTAAAAGTCATTGTTTCTTTCCTTTCTTTCTTATATTTTTTTAGTATGTTGAAGTTTATGATTATTTGATACAGTACTGGTCTGTACTTATCAATCTAATGAAAAAAAAAAAAAATTTTGATTGCAGAATATATCCGACAAGGAAGAAGCCCAAGTCCTAGAAACAGACAGTAACTCTGCCTCCTCAGCTGATCAACCAATAGAAACAGAAAAAATCTCTTCCAACAGTGAATATGAAAGAATGACAGGTGCCAATCTTCCTGAAGTACCTTCTGATGATTCTATGCCCTACCCAGCTTTTGTTGAGTTCATGGAAAAGGTAATACTCCTTTGCAAGAATTTGCTTAATTAAGTATATAACCCCTGATTCTATAAAATCGTGTGATTAAAATTTTTCCATAATGTGAAAATTGAATAATCTCAAAATTTTAACTAACATACAATTTAAGTGATTGGAAATAGGTTTCCTAGCCTTTTTAAGTGTGTCAGGGACACATTTGACTTTTATTTTGGACATTTGCATCATTTCCGGTTAACTCATTCTGGAATTGCAAGAACTACAGCCATCGGACGAAGAATTGTAATGTCCCAAATAAAAGTCAAATATTGTTCTAATTTCACTAGGCTTATCTAAGTCTGGTAACCTTGAATAGGGAACCAAGAGCCAGCTGACAGACAGGATCCTCACAAACTCAAGTTGTTATCCATGTGAAATATTTTTATTTGGCTCAAAGTTCAGCTGGTAGACAGGATCTTTGAGTGTCTCAGTTGTTATCCTTGTAAACGTAAAAAGTAGACAGGATCCTTGAGAACTTAAGTTGTTATCCTTGTAAATTATGTTCTTTTGACTGAAGGATAAGTCGATAAACAGGATCCTTATAAAAATGATTGTTTCTTTCTGTAGATGTGAATTTTATTACGTTTCAGTTGAAACAAGAATTACGTAATGAAATAGTCCATGATGTGACCAAAAAGACTGTAAAACAAGTTCTACGTGGTTTGGATCACACTTCAAATAGATTAGAAGATGGTGGTCCATGGGGAGGTAGAAAAACAGATCTTAGACATGTTCATCGTAAGTAAGAATTTTTCCAAAGAGTAATGAAATATTCTGAGAAACCACATAGCTTATAATTTTATAGAGTTGGAAATGGTCAACTGTTGAATTGATTTTGTCAACTTGGCACAAAACTAATACTGTTATGGAAATTGGATAAGTCAACTCTGTATACCTTTCTGAGAGTGCACATACCTAGATAATAAAGATTATCCACATTAGCTAATAATGTTCATTTAATTGATTTAAAACTCAAAATACCCTTTATCTAGAGAGATGGATATTTGACAAATTTGATATTTTTCTATTTGGTATTCCCTCTTGGAGATTTCACATAGTTGTTTTGATATCTTTTTCAGCTATATATCTACATGAAGGTGTATCATGTAAAAATTGTCAGAAGACTATTCTGGGACCCAGATACAAATGTGGGTAGGTACCAATTATTTCAGACTTCTAGTCATTCAGACTTCATTGTATGATGTTGGCCATCTTCATTAGCCAATTAGGTTCAGGAAAGTAGGACTCAAAATGTAAGTGAATTGAATAAAAAAAACATATCAGGCATTTCAGAATGAGTTTGGCTAATGCTGCCGTCTTGACAAAATTTCCTCATTGCACACTGTATCGTGTTGCTAGTCTTCATTAGCCGATTAGGTGAAGAGAAATAGGAGATGAAACTTCATAGTTTAGTTTGTCAGTATCTCCTATTTAATTTCAGTAATTGTGTGGACTATGATTTGTGTGAGAAATGTGAAAGTAAATATGGTATACACAGCTCAGATCATGTATTTATAAAACTACGACGACCGTGCCGAGATGGTCTGTATCGAGACAGTAAGAAATCTCCCCTACTGAAACGAGTGTTGTATAAATCTGAGGCTCTGGTTGAACCACAAGAGAGGTAACTCTTATAAAGTTATATTTTTGTGTTAGTGCTGGGATATTGCGATATAAGAGATACAATACATGTTGCGATATAAGAGATACAATACGTATTCCGATAAATTTAGATACAGTATGTTTGGCGATATTAGAGATAAGATATATATTACGTTTTGATATCATATAAGAGATTATGATACGTTTTGCGATATATTATAAGAGATTATGATACATATTGCGATATAATATAAGAGATTATGATACATATTGCGATATAATATAAGAGATTATGATACGTATTGCGATATAAGAGATTATGATACGTATTGCGATATAATATAAGAGATTATGATACGTATTGCGATATAATATAAGAGATTATGATACGTATTGCGATATAATATAAGAGATTATGATATGTTTTGCGATATATTATAAGAGATTATGATACATATTGCGATATAATATAAGAGATTATGATACGTATTGCGATATAATATAAGAGATTATGATACGTATTGCGATATAATATAAGAGATTATGATACGTATTGCGATATAATATAAGAGATTATGATACATATTGCGATATAATATAAGAGATTATGATACGTATTGCGATATAATATAAGAGATTATGATATGTATTGCGATATAATATAAGAGATTATGATACGTATTGCGATATAATATAAGAGATTATGATACGTATTGCGATATAATATAAGAGATTATGATACGTTTTGCGATATATTATAAGAGATTATGATACATATTGCGATATAATATAAGAGATTATGATACATATTGCGATATAATATAAGAGATTATGATACGTATTGCGATATAAGAGATTATGATACGTATTGCGATATAATATAAGAGATTATGATACGTATTGCGATATAATATAAGAGATTATGATACGTATTGCGATATAATATAAGAAATTATGATACGTATTGCGATATAATATAAGAGATTATGATACGTATTGCGATATAATATAAGAGATTATGATACATATTGCGATATAATATAAGAGATTATGATACGTATTGCGATATAATATAAGAGATTATGATACGTATTGCGATATAATATAAGAGATTATGATACATATTGCGATATAATATAAGAGATTATGATACGTATTGCGATATAATATAAGAGATTATGATACGTATTGCGATATAATATAAGAGATTATGATACGTATTGCGATATAATATAAGAGATTATGATACGTATTGCGATATAATATAAGAGATTATGATACGTATTGCGATATAATATAAGAGATTATGATACATATTGCGATATAATATAAGAGATTATGATACGTATTGCGATATAATATAAGAGATTATGATACGTATTGCGATATAATATAAGAGATTATGATACGTATTGCGATATAATATAAGAGATTATGATACGTATTGCAATATAATATAAGAG